TTCATTTATATAGTGCTCTGTGAACACAAAGTAGTTAGCATAAATCAGTTAAATGACGAAAAATTAGGTGTCTATTTACTTGTGACCACTCAGTGTATATATATTCTTTGGTAACTAGAAACTCTAATGTTATCTAAAAATACAAGTTTTTCAGGAACCCTTTGTACCCTTGTTTTCACAAAGTTGGTGTGTTCTATACTCCTAAGTTACAGAGCTTTTTGTACTTGGTCCAAAGACACTGAAATCAACAATCTAAAACATGTAGCTGCAGACAAAGGATACAACCTTGTAATTATTATTAAAGCTGTTTGCAAAATAACTTTTAAAATGAATTTATCTGATCTCTCAACACTTTCAATTGTTTATACAAAAAAGAAATATAAAAAAAGACAATCTTCCAAAGGTACCTCACACACACACACACAAAATAGATTACTCTTATGATACCTCTAATTAATAGAACTATCTCCAAGAAAATAAAAACTACATTCAAGAAATCTGAATTGGCTATTAAAGTTACAGAATTCTCAGGTCTAACATCAAAAGCAACTTTCAAAATCTCAGTACACTACCCTACAATGTTGTTTACCAAGCTATTTGTAACATTTGCCACCAAAGATACATTATGTAAACCAGAAAAACCCTACACACAAGAACAGGAGAACATAGTGACTCTCTTTATAAACTCAGCATGAGAGAAAACTGCAGTTACAGATCATTTTTGAACTAACTATGGACAATTAACTCTTGGCACGAATCTGTCATTCTCTATACAAAATTTTATGAAAGCCACCAAGCACAGTGAGAGAAAAATGAAAGAAGTTTTCTCATTAATTAACTATTGACCAGGTGAACAGAGAAAAAGTGTGGTGCCTATAAGTACTAATATATTTTACTTTTACATTTTAACTTTTATTTCAGTCTGTAACTTAGATAAAGTTTTTGTTCATTATAGGTAGGAATGTACTGTTTCAACAATATAATCTTTCTACAACAAGCTTTACTACTTCACATGTGAAACATAAGATGTGGATTCAATTAAAATTTACTATTTAAACCAATTCAAGTTATTTATTACTGGAATTAAAGTGTTTTTATAATTCAATATACACTACAGGAATTAAAAAACCAAAGTTAGTGTTTTAATATCATACAAACATAGAATTAAACAGTTTAAATATTGACTATTACATCTAAGTCAATAAATAATTTTATTAACAATTGGGGATCAGAAACTTAAAATGTTTCTTAAGCCAGAAATTCTGCCAAGTCAATTGAGGTTTTTTTCTTTCTATTCCTATTAAATGACAAAAATTTCATTAAACCACTAAATATTACACTTACCACAGTTATTTAATTCCAACCATTTTTGCAGTGAGATACCACGTTTACAGCACTGCTGAGCATATTCAAGTTTAGCACGACACACTGATCTACCCGGTTTCATACTGTATGAGACATCATTCTCACAAGCTTTCCTGAATGGCATGGGATCAATGATAAAATCACATGCAGTAGAGGTAAAGTTGCATATCTCTGGGGGTGGTGTTGGGATCTTTTCCTTAGAGATGGTACAAGTCTCTTTAGTTCCATTGGTTAGCCAACTGTAGGCAAAGTCTTCTACATTGTCTGTCACATAGCCATCACTGTGGTACATGTCATCTGATGCATCAAAGTTGCATATTCCTAAGTTGTATAGAAAAATAAAAATTCAGCTGTCAATATCTTTTTTACAGTAAGAAATGCTCTATGTAACAAATATTTCACTGTTTGATGAATAAATAAACATTTTAGCATGATGTAAAACAACAGTATATAGATACATATTCATATGTGGAATAATTCAATATCTGATACTGTGATGTAGTTTAA